GTGTAATTGCCATGAGAGCATCTAATATTTAACAGGGTTTTGAAATTACAGTTCTTGCCTTTTGTCAAACTTTTAAAGTACAATTACTATTTTTGTGGGGGTGGTACTCGGGATTGAACCCAGGGCCCTTGCACGGGGCTACATCCCCAGTCCCCTTCCCCCTTTTGTTTGTTTGTTTTTGTTTTGTTTTGAGACAGGATCTTGATTTGTAGTCCAGGCTGGTCTGCACACTCATTGTAGCCCAGACTGGCCTCAAACTCCTAATGAACCTTTTGTCTCAGCCTCCCCAGTGCTGGGATTACAGGTGTGCACCACAATGCCTGGCTATATTCCCCAGCCATTGTTAATTTATTTTGTATTTGGAGACAGGGTCTCACTAAGACTACTACATTTTATTTATTTATTTTGTCTTTTTGAGACAGGGTCTCACTATGCAGTTCAGGCCGGCCTTGAACTCACTTTGTAGCCCAGGCTGGCCTTGAACTCACAACGACCCCCCTGCCTCAGTCTCCCAAGTGCTGGGATTACAGACATGCGCCACCATGCCCAGCTAGACTACTACATATTAAACAATAAACTTATAAAACAATTTTCTAGGAAAGAAAATTCAGATTTTTTTCTTGAATCCTTAGAAGTTCGTTCTGTTATGGTGATATTCTAATTCAAAGAATGGTGATTTTCCCTATCAAACATTAACCATTTGACCATATGCATATTCAGGTAGACCTCAAATTACATACTCTAAGCCTAGTATCATTATAGTAAAATTTACATATAAAATTTCAAGAAGAGAGCAAATGTTTCACAAAGAGAAAAATCTTGTATTAGAAGAAAAAAAAAAAGGCTTCCAATGTAGGATTTTTCTTTGTATATGTAAAATATTTCAGAGCAACTTTCTCCCAAAGTGATCTTCTGTCCTTTTTGCATCTGTCAGCTATTTAATTCATAGTATTTTGTGGCACTTAACTACCAGTGAAACTATTATGAAATGTTTACATAATAAAGATTTATGTTTTGGTTTGGTTTGGTTTGGGTTTTTTTTGGTACTGGGAATCAAACTCAAGACCTTGTACTTGCCAGGTAGGTGACGTACCACTGAGCTATATCCCCGGCAAGATTTGGGCTTTTAATTTAAAAAATTACCTACTACAGGCCGGGAGTGGCGCATGATTCCCAGTACTCGGGAGGCTGAGGCAGGAGGATCACTGCAAGTTCATGGCTGGCCTGGGCTACATGGTGAGCTCAAGGTCAGCCTGCTCTACAAAGCGAAACCTTGTTTCAAAAAACCAAAAACAAAACTACACAAATATTCTACAAATGATGACTGAGCTCAAGGGCAGATGCCCGAACCGGATGGTTCTCATAGTTCCGGGATTTATAGCTATTTTTGCTGTCACGGGCATTGACCTGATTCATCGCTGAAATATACGTTTGAGACGATTTTCACGTTTGCGTGTCCGGAAGGTGGTGCGTCAGGAAACTGAAGTTATGTGTTTACCGGACCACAACACAGTGTTGAACACACAACCTCCACTGTTAACAACCTTGTTCCCACCTGGCCCTTAGCAAGACCCAGCAAATCACAACCACCAGGTGTATTCCTGTGGACCTCAAGCTCTCCTTCCACTCCCACATCAGGCCCCAGAGGGGCAGCGACCCAAGTCTTGGCCACGTGGGATGTGAGCCTCTCCGTCTTGGCAAAGGCGTAAGTTCCACGCGTGCCACAGACCTCCGCGTCTTCTTCACCCTCCTCCTTCCCCCCGGGCTCCGGACCCCCGGACCTTCGCACCACACCCACTCTCACCGTGCTAAATCGGGCCGCCATCCGGCAGAAGCGCTGCTTGCCAGTCAGACCTCGCAGGGGATGAACACTCCCCAGCGTGCGCCCTGGTTGGCGGCTTGGCCCTAAACTACCATGCGCTGGAGTTTCTCGCGGGTCGCGAGGGCGACGCCTGGGCTCGGGGCCGCAAACCTCGCTTCAAGGGGCGGACAGCGCCGCGGGAGGGCGCGCTGCCCGCGGGGGCCGCCAGGG